CTATTTAAAAATTCACTTCCAATTGGAGAATATTAGAGGAGATATTTGGAAGAGATGTCACTAGCAGAAAATTAGGTCCTTCTTTTACAATTTTTATCTACACATGTCTTAAAACCCCTATTTGTAACCACATACCTATATCGTCTTATATGCCTATGAGTTTCTATATACACCTACACACACATTCACATGAAACGATATATGTATATTTCCATCTTTACACATATACACCTGCAGAGAAAAACGCACATCCACATGTTTCCATACCTATCTCCATATATACTTATATTTACATATATACATATACACACAAGGACATCTGCATATCCATATATATTCATTCATACATATATATATATATATACATATATTTATACACATATATACACATATACACACACATATACACACATATATATATACACATACATACATATACATACACACATATGCATATGCATACGCAATATGCAGAATATCTACATACCCACATATGCGTTAATTTGCACTTATTATATCTACCCAATGTATTTGTCCCTATCCTCATGTCCACCCGTGCATCCACTTATGCCTGCGTTCGAAGACTATCTCAGTATTTAATTACATTATCTATATCTTTTACACATATAATATTACCTGATCTTTCATATTTATGGCAAAACATATAAGTCCCTTTATCTAATTGTACATCTCCACACTCACAAAAAAAAAAAAAAAAACCAAAAAACCTTTATGCTTTTTTATCCATATAAAACATATACATGTACATATCAACAGGTGTCTCAGTGTACAAATACATTATCATAGTTGTATACATATAGTCATGTGTTAGCGTTCACGTGTGCATAGTAATATTTCTAAAAACAAAGGGAATATAAAACATTCAAAATTGCTGTTCTTATATGATTATTTCTTAGTGTACTTGCTAAGGTTTAGGTTTCCAAAAACCTGATTTAAAATAGCTGTCTTTTCTTAATAACATTCTTTGTCTCAATCTTTTTATATATATATAAATATATATTAAATAAATATATAAAACAATTTGGCAGAGGAGTGAAGAATCGTGAAATTAGACAAACGATAGCAAGCTGTTTGTGGAACCAAAAGATCAAGAACAAATACCAGTGACATACCAGCGACGCGTTAACGAGGTTGGAGTTGTGCTAGATGGAAAACACGGTGGTCTGAAGGCTTTTGAAGAAAACGCGGCGGAGGACTGATTATTTTTTTATATGTTGTTTTGACCAGAATCGACTCAGGATTACAGTTTAAATACATCAAAGGGATTACCAGATCATGTTTTTTTTTTATTGTTGGTGGGAATGCGACACGTTGGTTGAAATATGTTTAATATTCATTTTCAAAGCGTTTATTAACCGGAAGGATGCGCAATTCTCCGACTCAGAAACCATTTTTCTTTGTCATTTGGTGTTTGGTTGTCTTTGTGTTTATTTCCGTCTTCGATCCACAGGTTATCAAATTTTCATTGTTATTACATTTTTTTAAAGATTATAAAGGTTTATTTAATGAGCGTTTCTTTAAGAAAAATAATACTTTAATAAAAATAAAATATCGGATTCATTGTGTTATTTTTCTTATTTAAGACTCAAGTTTCTTTAACCGTTCTGTCTGAGCTCCTGAGTCAAAATTCGCAAATAATTGGTATATTTCACGGTAAATATAAAAATAGTCCCTGATTGCTTCCCTGATGGTCCAGGTTGAAAATTTAATAGCTTCTGTATTTAGTAATGGGTTAATTAATTTAATATTTGTTGAGAATAGGTTGCGTATCAAATAACTATTTCCATCTAACATCGAAATAAAATAATAATCGATTACAAGCAGAATATTAAGTATATGTTATGTTGGCAAATGTGTATGATGTTTTTTTCAAAATGCCCTTCTTGTTAAGCGTTCAGAAAAAAAAACTTATTTTTTGTAAATAATTTAAAAATAACACTGTAAATTTTAAGGTCGTTTCGCATTATGAATGTTTACTTAATAGATAGTAAATGTAATTTTATTTTTTAAGTAAATATTGAGAATTCAATAATTTACAGAATTGGTTGACTGGGAATTGTTAGTGAGTCAAATATGAGGTGTTTCACTGGCGGTAAAAATTAATTATTGAACGATTTTATAACATTTTATTATTATATATTTCTCTTTATTCAGCTGATTTGGCGGTAATTATCTTTAACATCTGGTCAGCAAATATTTCGTAAGTCGGGGAGTTTTGAATTTACATCTTGGCAATTTTTAACTACTAATTCCCAAAAGGTTCATTGTTTATCTTTATATAATTTATATTCTGGCCCTCTAGCATATGAGCGGGAAAAAAAGATTGGTCGCGTTTAAGGCGGTTTGATTGGTCGGAACTGACCAATCATCAAGCCAGATTTAAGGTGATTGAAAAATGAATACTTGTTATATTGTATGAAAGTAGAATTTTTTACCAGATAGGAAGAGTGCATTTCCTAAAAAGAGGTATATTTGGTTTGTTGTTAAAATTTCAAGATTTTACATTTTTAATAAAAAATTTAAATTTTTTATCTTTTTTTTTAAATCCTAAACACATGGTATAAATATAGAATGAAGAGAAAAACATGTTATCTTTAACGTTTGATAAATGCAGAATTTTTACGGCTTTTCCGATTGGCTTTCAAAAATAAGACAAAAATAACTTGTACGACGCAAGTGTTTATCCATTGTTTAACCAATGGCTGGGCATTTATAAAATTTTTTCTTTCAAAATTTTAAATCAGCAGACATTGACACCAGGTCGTATAATGAGAAATTAAAATAAAGTGATTTTAAATTTCAAGAAAACATATTTTTTTTTTCAGGATTAAAAATAGAACTTTTGAAAGAAAAAAAATTTTTCATGAAGTATTTTTAAATAATTGATTAATACAAAAGAAAAAACTAGAAACAGACGGACAATTAATACCCAAGATATTTATTTGATTTCACAGAATAAGTGAGTTATCGCCCTTTGACAGTAAACAAAACAAACATTGATATGTAATCATTTATTTTAGGATTTGAAAAATTGAGAAATTTGATAAAGAAAATTAAAATTATTTGTTCTTTTTTTTAAAATTCATTAAAACAATTTATAGATTTGTCCTGACCGCATGTAGCCATAAGAATTTTTTCACTTGTTGAGTTCGTTTAAAAATTTTTTATTTCAATCTTCACATTTCTTCAGTCAAAAGTTAAAACGATTTTTTAATTGTTATGAAAATTTTGGAAATAGGAAGACTTTAACTGTTCTGGCCTGGCCTGACCATTTTGACAAGACCCAAACCAGCTATGACTAGCTTTTCTGCCCTTTATTAGCGGCCCGAGTGAAATTTTCCAAATCCCACGTTAAAAACCGACCTTTTGTTGGAACCTTTTCCATTGTAATTTTCAAGTTTAAAACTTGCCTGGAAAAGGGCTCCGTCCCTTCGCTTGGTGGTATTTTGCTGACTAGCTTGGACCAGCTTGAGCAGTTTGGACCAGCTAAGACCAGCTATTTTAAAAATAAAAGACCAGCTTAATTTAGCTAAAACCAGCTAAAACCAGCATTAAATTGAACCCGACCCTGTTGTTATGGGGATTATAAAAAATTTTTTGCGCAATAATATTAAAATTAAAAAAATGATAAATCGGCCTTGTGCCACATCTCCCTCTGTCGGGCGCTCGGCTAAAAATACAAAGTTCGTTAAACTTTACTGCAACACGGGTGTTCTATAGCATCAAAGATGATGATTATTATTTGTAAGCAAGCTGAAGACTATTTGTTTGAATGGCTGAAGAGCAAAACTGATCGAATTTGAATAAAACAATTGTTGAATTTAAATCATTTTGATAAAACATTTGAACATGCTACAGCTTTTCAGCAGCGATAGTTGTTTCTATGTTTATCTTCCCATCCTAAGCCCATTGGAACGAAAAAGAAATACGAGAAAAATCGAAAATGAATAAAAATTGCCAAGGCTTCATTTAAGAAATTCAGACAACTTAAGACTATTACTACTTAATGGAAAAGCAAGAGAAATAAGATGAAAGAAATACTAGTGAAAATGAATAATAATTGCCAAGGCTTCATCTAAGAAATTCAGATATCTTAAGACTATTACTACTTGGTGGAAAAAAGCAAGAGAAATAAGATGAAAGAAATACTATTCAAAATGAATAATAATTGCCAAGGCTTCATCTAAAAATTCAGACAACTTTTTACTATTACTACTTGGTGGGAAAGCAAGAGAAATAAGATGAAAGAAATACTAGTTGAAAATGAATAATAATTGCCAAGGCTTCATCTAAGAAATTCAGACATCTTAAGACTATTACTACTTGGTGGAAAAGCAAGAGAAATAAGATGAAAGAAATACTATTCAAAAATGAATAATAATTGCCAAGGCTTCATCTAAAAAATTCAGACAACTTAAGACTATTACTACTTGGTGGGAAAGCAAGAGAAATAAGATGAAAGAAATACTAGTTGAAAATGAATAATAATTGCCAAGGCTTCATCTAAGAAATTCAGATAACTTAAGATTTACTGTAAATATTAATGTGAACTAATAATAAAAATATTGAGACCCAAATTATCAATTGGCGATGCTTTATAACAGAGATTCAATTGATATTTTTATACATAGCTTTCGAAAATGTAAAGTAATCGCTTCAATAGATCACCAAATACAAAAAAAGATATAAAATCATCGTGAGAAAGAAAAACACGAAAGCTTTTTCCCTGCGTTCAACGTGCGTGAAACGTACTTCAACTGTTAATCGTTCATTCCGAGCGACGCATTAGACGTTAGTTGTAAACTATTGCGCATTCAAAAATACATTAGTAAAAAGACGAGAGAGAAGGAGAGAGAGAGAGAGAGCGAGAGAAAATGCCCCCAAATAAACCTTTAGGAAGAAGATTAACTCAACATACCTCTTACGAGGAACTGGATGATGTCCTTCCTGATTCTCTGCTCAATGAGGAGATTTCCCGCATGCTGACTGTGAGTAACGAAAACGAAAAACGAAACCTCATCCGATACAATTTCCTCCAGTGTGAATACAAACCAATAACTGTATTTGATCCGTTAACCGTATTGATTGAAGGCAGTATCTTCCAAAACCATAGCGATGAATCTCAGTTTGCTTCCGACGCCACCGACTCGATGGGGACGGGGGACGAAGAAGGTATTGAAAAGAAATTCGCGGAACGAGAGCCAAAACTGGTCAAAAACCAATTCAACTACAGCGACAGAGCTTCGCAAACCGTCGACATTCGACCGCGATACCAGCTGATGCAGACAGAGCCGCCGGCCACTGCCACGTTTTCGGCAAGCTGCAGTCAAGGAATTATCTACGATGCGTACGCCAATGAGTTCAAAGAGAAAGTCCACAAGGAACCATGTCCGACAATCCTTCACCCAAATGTTAACAAACTGGCTGTCGTCATGGAGAGGATGATAATTCAGAATTTATACGATCACCTTCTGCAAGATTTCAAATATTATGAAGATCCGGCAGATGATGTACGAGGTAACATTGGGTGTTTATTGCCTTTGTGGAAGTTTACATCTGAAATAACGAAATATTTATCCGTGACTAGTTTATGCTGGAGTCCGCGCTATTCAGATTTATTTGCAGTTTCTTTTGGTTCGTTTAGTTTCAATAGACAAGGCGAAGGGATTATTTTGATGTATTCTCTAAAAAATCCGTCCCATCCAATTTACTCGTTTGTTACCGAATGCGGCGTGATGACGTTAGATATTAATCCAGTGTATTCAAATTACATGTGTGCCGGTTTCTACGATGGCAGCGTGGCTGTGTACAATCTGTGCAAACACACAGGCGAGCCGGAACACCGATCAGAAAGAAACGTACACAATATGTATGTTGCGCAGATCCAGTGGGACAAGGAAGTTACGGAAGAACAGTTGTGCTGTAATTCTGTCTCACCTGACGGTCAAGTTGTAAAGTGGATTCTGGCTCCAACTGGTCTAAAACCGCACATTCTGGTCACGTTAGACATTTCTGACTTCATCGAAAAATCTATGGTTGAAATGCAAATAATGACATTCGGGAGCGGCATCACTTTAGATTTTCATGATACTAACAATCAGATCTACCTGCTTGGAACTGAAATGGGTCACGCTTATGTTTGCTCGAGGGTTCACTCAACAGAATCGTTGCAAACCTTCGACGCCCATTATTCGTCTGTCTACAAAATCGCCTGGAACAGGTTCCATCCGAAGATCTTCATTACCTGCAGCGAGGATTGGACAGTAAAAATCTGGGAGAACGAAGGAACCATTCGTAAACCTCTGCTCGTGTTTGATCTTGGCAGTCAGGTGTACGATGTTCAGTGGGCACCGTTTTCATCGACCGTCTTCGCTGCGGTCACAGCTAAAGGTCAAGTTTACGTCTATGACCTTGCCATCGATAAAAGTGAACCTTTGTGCGTGCAGGTGGTGATTTTCCTGAAGAAGACTCGACTGATGCATTTGGCGTTCAATCCATCGCATCCTGTTATTCTGGTTGGAGACGATAGAGGAGACGTAACTTGCTTAAAACTATCCCCGAATTTAAGGAAGGGGCCGAAGGAACGAAAAGGCCAGGTTCCTACTGATAAAAAAAGCAAGGAAAAGTTGGAAAAGTCTAGGCTTGATGAGGTTCTTGCTACAGTTCGAGAAAAGTGTGGTTGATTTAGAAAGTTACCTTTTTATTCTATTCCTTCAGGTGACATACTCTGATTTGATGATTTATATATAGAGGTTGCTGACTGAGGTTATACTCTTTAATTCGAAGTATTTATGACAAGAAAAAAAGAAAAGAAAAGAAAAGAAGGCTGAGATTGCTTTGTTATCAAGTTCTATGCCTTACACTTGTTGAAAGACTTCTTGGTGGTGAAAATAGTTGTATATTTGTTTCTATCGTCCATATTCAGAGTTGAGACTCAAGTAATTTTTGAACACAGATTAAATTTTTCCGTGTGAATAATAATTGCCAAGGCTTCATCAAAGAAATTCAGACAACTTAAGACTATTACTACTTGGTGGAAAAGCAAGAGAAATAAGATGAAAGAAATACTAATCAAAAATGAATAATAATTGCCAAGGCTTCATCTAAGAAATTCAGACAACTTAAGACTATTACTACTTGGTGGAAAAGCAAGAGAAATAAGATGAAAGAAATCCTTGTCAAAAATGAATAATAATTGCCAAGGCTTCATCTAAGAAATTCACACAACTTAAGACTATTACTACTTGGTGGAAAAGCAAGAGAAATAAGATGAAAGAAATCCTTGTCAAAAATGAATAATAATTGCCAAGGCTTCATCTACGAAATTCAGACAACTTAAGATTATTACTACTTGGTGGAAAAGCAAGAGAAATAAGATGAAAGAAATACGAGTCAAAAATGAATAATAATTGCCAAGGCTTCATCTAAGAAATTCAGACAACTTAAGACTATTACTACTTGGTGGAAAAGCAAGAGAAATAAGATAAAAGAAATACTAGTCAAAAATTACCACCCGACAGACTTTCTACACCTACAGGCAAGTAAATCCACAAGTGCTGCATTGATATAATAAAGGTACACGTTTATATATGCATGTGTGTGGGAAAGTGGAAAAACTTGTAAACGAAGCGTTTTGCTGACATTTGTTGGTCTCGGCTTCTTCGGGTCAAAATACATAAGATAAAACTGTGTGCAAAGAAAATGCGTTGTAGATATGTGATTTCATTTATTGCCCTTCTCAATCTCAGAAATCCAAACGCAATTTTACTTACAATCTTTTGTCTTTCATTCTGACCTGAAGAATATGTGACCAACATATATCGGCGAAACGCGTCGTTTATAAACTTTTCCTCTTTGGCTCATCATCACCACTTTTGTTTCGATTACTATTATACATTCTACAAACACACACACACATACACACACATATGTATTAATTGCGATCAAACATCTTATTGTCTAACGAAGCTTTAATAAAAGTTAAACATGTTAGATTGATAAACGTTTCTTATTTGTTCTTTATCCTATTATATACAGAGAGCAATGGGTAAATTTTCGCCATTTTATATTTTTTTTTAACTTCTCGCATGCGCGTTGTTTGTTTTTGATTTTTGTCATTCGCGCCGGAAGCTCCAATACGAACATTTCAGAGTTTTTGGCTGTCAATCTGAGGACACTGCAGAGGATTCGGAAAGAGGTGAATGAGTCTAATGGTGATTACGAAGGCGTTTGGAGGGATCACTAGTGATGATAACGTTATGCCCCAATTCATCTTCCCCCAGGGCATCAGACTCAGCACGGAAGCCTTCATCAAGTGGCTTGAAGTAGGTACTGCTTGTGGGGTTCAGCGTACCCGGATTAAAAGGAGAATTTAATACGGGATACCCTGTCCACAAAATACAACGCAAATTTAAAGAAGAAACAACACGATAAGGAACGTTTGTAGAAAATAGAACAGTGTATATTTATTATCTTGTGAATAGAGTAAAAAAGATTAATGCTTTAGTTCGTTTAAGCAAAATTGTGATTTTTACAAAAATGTCTGTGTTCGTTGTCTTTTAACAGAGTAGCAGAGTAATGTCTGTTTCTTTTGTTTTTGTATTTCCGCCGAGTAGGTGTAAAGGAAAAAGGGGCGATCAATTTAAGTTGAAAAAGAGAGTGTGAATGAGAAATAAAAGATAAGAGGAAAATGTACTTATGAATTGTTTTGGAGTCAGTTGTAAATTTGTTGTTGTTGTTGTTTTCCTTTCCTAATCCACTTTCGGCTCTTAGTGTCGGGTTGAGTCAGTGATGAAATTTACTGTCAGTCTTCTGTGATCTTTGCGCCCTTCTGACTGGCGACTGACTTGAACTCTGTATTTATTGTTGACTGGCTCGTTATCTTTTTTTTAGTTTAGCAAATCGCCTCCTTTCATTGGTCAGAAAATTAATTTCACACCTTATTGCGAAATCTGTTTTTAATCGTTTTGATCCGATTTTGCGGGTGTTCAAATCTACTTTGTGTTTTTTAGTCACTTGTTGGAATGATATAGGATTTGTATCCTATATGCTGACCTAGGTCCAGAAAGTGGTGCTGGAAGACCCTGTGTCTGACACTGCATCATGCCACACAAGCAGGAGAACACAGTCATAATATTGAAATAATAATTCATTCATCTATCTATCTATCTATCTATCTATATATATATATATATCAATGGCAATTTTTGTCTGTTTGCCAGTTTGCCTGAATCAAGTTGCCGCCTAAACCCTTGAAGCAATATCGATGAATCTTTGCATGCCTATTAAACTAACATCCAGTTTGTTACTAGGCTAACTGTTTTTTTTTAATCTATAATAGGACCACTAGGGTCCCTAGATCGTCGGGTCTTATGCGAAACCCTACAATACATGTTTATCGCAGTGTTTAAGCAAGGGAGATAATTAGTCTCGCAAACTTTTTAGAAATTAAGATATACGTGTTACGAAATAACAATTCTTATAAAGCTTAAAATTCCTGACAAATATAGATCTTTCTTCGATTTGAAAAAAAAAAAAAATAGAGGACAACATCTGAACAAATTGCAGGTTATTCTCTAAATAAAATCTTTATATATCAAATTAATTCAGCATAATCTTTCTTTGAATGCGATCTCCGTGGTGTGTTTACACTGCAAAACAAATTAATTCGTTTATATTGCAAAAAAATTAATTCGTTTCAAATTTTGTCATGTGCATCCTTAAATTCGCCAGATTCGAATTTATTAAATACAAAAAACTGGTTCGATCCATTCGGTCATTTAAACGTGAAATAACATTTAAAATTGAGCTTATTTGCGAATAGAAACTTTAAGCTCATGTTTGTCAACCTAATCTTAAAAAGGCATATGGTGGTTGTAATTGTGGCTGTTGTTGTTGTTGTCTGTGGAATAACAACCTGTTTGAAGGACACTTTCGTGCTATACACCGTCTGCGTAAAAAATAATCTAGCTGTGGAAATAGACATCCTTATTAAAAATATCTAAACGTCTGCATAGGATATCAGAACGGGAATTTCCCAATTCCAGTTCTCATATCATTTCTCTAGAAAGCAAGATTCACCAATCCCAGGACGAGCCACATTGCCTCATTTGAGAAAATATATCTGCCCAACTGGTAGATTATATATATAGATTTCAATATTGAATGGAATGAAAAGTTAAAAAAAAAAAAAACAATTCTTTATTAAATTTTTGATTTCAGTTTAGATTTTAGTCGCAATTCTAATTAATATCGTAATTGAGAGTAAAACTTAACTGGGAAGGGTACATGGCTCATGCAGATTAAGGGCGTTTAGATTTTTTTAAGAAGGATGTCTATTTCCACAGCTATATTTTTTTATATCTTTCATTCGTTCATTCAAACAAAATAACGTCTTGGCTATGACCTTTGTCTTCTCACCCGATCAAAACAGAATAGACTATTATTTATGAACTATTAGCAAGAGGCGTTAACACACTTCTATATCTCTTTCATTCTTTCTTTCTTTCTTTCGCTGAAACCAAGTAGCGTTTCTGATATGTCTTTCATCTTTCTACGCGATCAAAATGGAACAGTTCATTATTTATCAGGTATTAGCAGGAGACGTTAAACACATTTATCTTTTCTTCTTCCTTTTCTTCATTCATGAAACCAAGTGGCGTCTCTGATATGCCTTTGACTTTCCACGCAATCATAACGGAATAGTCTATTGTTTATGAGGAATTGGCAGGGCGCAATGGTCGTACGAACTAACGAAGAGAAGAAGAAACACAATTATTATAGGATAAGAATACAAGGACTTAGACTACACTTATTTTACTTACTATTTTTAATGGATGGCGTTAAATGACGTAAAAAATCGACTATCCAATAAACCGTAAATCGTTTAAACATTGAATATATTTATTTACTTAAAGATTTTTGTCACACATTTCTCTCCACAACAGAAAAAAAAAACTTCACGTAAAAATTATTTATTACGCATCATCGAACTGTTTTAGGTTAAATTACGTCATGCAATAAAATTCGTAAGAAAGGATAAATTTAAAATAAATTGATGTCAAATACTAACGATTTTTAAGCGATGTATGTCTAAGTTTAAAAATGGGACCAGCAACGAGCTAGATTTTAAATATTTATTGTAAATAATATTTATCATCTGTTTAGGATGCGTTTTTATATAGCTCCCCTCCTGAGAGGATGTGGTATTATGGTGTATGGATGATTGATTGGCGACGGATGAGTTCTTATGATGAATGAGGAAATTGTAACGAGTTAATGGGTCGTGAATCCGATTAGCTAGGTATAAGATAGTGAATACCAGCCTTCCCCCGTTCCCCCTTTTCGGCCTTGTGCCATACTTGTATGTATGTAAAATAAATAAAGATTTTTAAATATTCACTTCTATATACCGTGTTCTTTCAGGACATTGGAGATGATGGCTCTCCACAGTTTCCTACCCTTTATAACTCTTAATAAATTTGGTCTTTTTGTTATTGCTCTTAAACCCTGTTCCGCCATCCATTTACTAAAGCTCACTAAATATCTTATGCGTTGTTTTCCTCTGTCCCGCTTGCCTTCAATCTGTCATGTGAGTATCAGGTTTACCAAGCCCTCTTTCCTCATTATGTTCCCTAGAAATTTCAACTGTCTCTTTCTGACGTCTCATAAAAATGTAAAAATT